TCGGCCCGGGGCTGCCGGGTGTCTGACCCCACGGCCGCTGCAGGGTTAGGGTGGGATTCACCCGCCTGAGGGCTCTGCCTGCGGGCACAGGTGCGTTTTATGAGACGTAAGGGAAGCAGCACTGCACGCAGCTGTGCTGGCAAAGTCTGGCTCCTCTGCGGGTTAGTCTGTGAGCTTTGAGTGCTTTTCTTTACAATCAGACATCTTATAAACAGAGGTTTAAGCTGTTTCGTGCTTACCCCTGTGTTTCCAGTATGCATGAGGAACTCTGTCGTACATCGCTCCTGTAACAAAATGGATCCGAATCTTGCCGAATCAGATGCGTAATCAGGGTCAAAGAATACTGCTAGGCACTAGGACTCTGTCACCTATGCTGTGGAATTGTCAGAACCGTGTCTGACTCAGTTTTGGCCTGGGCATTCTCCCCAGCAGTTCCCAGGGCCAGCCTGGGCAGGGCATTCCCAGTTAGGGGGGACCAGCCTGTCTGATAGGGAGAGAGTTCAACAGCATCACAGTGGGCTGTGCCAGGCCAGCTGGCCTGGGGGCAAGAGACCAATGACAGGCGTATTTAATTTACTAGAATAGTGTTGCTTCTGTGCTCTCGGAGATCCTAAAAGGGCAGCTGTGTACTTGCAGGGACCTGGAGACTATAGAGGTCAAAGAAATTGGGAGTCACTCCAGTGAAGTGCAGGTTTGCCAGGGTCCACAAGAGCTTTCTGGGCTTGTGAGACAGGCCTCAGCCGTCCTGTCCATGAGGTCTGCCAATTTTGGGTGCTCTCTGGAGCCCAAGCTGGGTGTATTCTGGTGCCAGGTAGTTCCTCTGTCACTGTCAGAGCCATGTCTGGCCTTGGGGAAGCAACAGTCCCCACATGCATGCATGCTGGGTCAGCAGGGATCTAAACACCCTGCTCACACTCCAGTTGCAAACTGCTGTCTGAAATGAACAGACACGAGGCCTTTCCAGCATCACGTTTCTGATCCTGACTTGAGAAATGACTGTGGGGAGCTGCAGGCTCACTTTGTATTGGGACACTTGCAGCATTAGCCTGACTTTAAGAACATCCTGTGGGAAAATCCTCTTGTCTCTCCTTCTGAGAAAACAAGCTTAGAAAACAAGTTTTAGTGTATTTCCTCCAATCCCAGAAAAAAAGCAAAACAAACCAACACCAAACTAAAACAGGTAAAATCAGAAACTTAATCCTGCATTTGCAATTCAAATCAAAGAAACAGAACCAGACAGAAGAGGCCATACATATGTGCTTCTTGGCTTCTTGTTGAGTGATCCTTCCCTGTTGAAGCTCATACTCAGTCTGTTCAAGGCCAGGCTAAATGCCAAGTGCGTAGAGGCAGGTGACTTGGGCAGAACTGTACTGCTTTAGATTACATCTGAATAGATTCTTCTTTGGTCAGAGAACACTTTGGGCCCCCAAACTGTGTTGAACATCACACCTCACACTTCAGTGGGACAGGGATTGGGTGCAAAAACGTGCCCAGCAATTGTTAGCACTGTTGGGCATCGCTCCACATGACGTACTGCAGCATGCAGTGAGGATGTCTTCACTTATACATAGTTCTACAGAAAAGAACATCTGTGATTGTCTGCTTAGAGTGACATCTTTGCTAATTAACCCAGTACCTGTTTTTATCATCCTCTACTGCTGCTTGGGAGGATTTCAAAAGGGCTACCTCCTCCAATAGTCAGCACCTGCTGATTAAAAGCTCACCCCTTCTTTTCCTGCTACACACTCAAGAAAGAATACTTGAAAAATTAAAATTTATTTTATCATTCTATGAATACTTCTGCCCACTGGGTTGTTGCTTCTTGTTCCCACAGATCTGATAGCAGCAGCCCTCACCCAAAGGGGTCAAGAGATGTCCTTACCCATTTAGCCACATAGCAGTAAGGATCAAGATACAACTCCCCATATTTTCCTAAGAGATATGGGGAGAAAGCAGGTCAAAGTGAAGTACAGTTATTGCTAATACCAAGCTGTGCAAGGACATATAGCAGTAACCTGTGGCCCTGCAGAGAAGTTTTCCAGTCTGCCTGTCCTTGCCTAGGCCTGAAACCACACGGATGTTGCTCATATGTGTCCTTCCCTTCATTCCTACATTCACTCATTCATACAAACCCAAACCCCTCTCACTCTCAAAAACACCTCCTGCTGCTTATTTATATCAGGCCTTTGCTGCTGTCATGCTTCATTTTTGAGATGTAATGAGGCATTAATGCTTATCTTTGATGTGTGAACTGTGTCAAAATATCCTTTTCTTCTGAGCTCTGGATCCATCAGAATCTGCCATAAAATGTGAACAAAATCGCCATTGTTTGAAAAATGTTCGTAGCTTCACTGATGGGGCATTCCAGCAGGCAGGAAGCAAGTGTGCAGTCCTTACTGCATCTCAGCCCTTTTAATTGCTTAATCAGTTCCTTCTCCTGTCTCCTTTGGTTTCTCAGACTCACACCCAACCTCCATCCCCTCTTTTGTTGTCTAAGTCCTGCTATTACCCCACTAACACACACTGCAACACTGCTCTGATTATGTGCCAGGCAGCCCCTGCTCTTCATCACAACTCAGAGAAGCCCACCAAAGACCTAGATACAGTCTAGACATGGTTTGGGGAAGATGGGAACATTTTTTTCCCAGTAATTCTTTCTTAAGTTTAATGCATCTTTCTTCAGGAAGGCCTGCATAGTGCTGACACCCAGAAATGCCCAACAGCACATGAAGAGGGCAGTGGTAGCCTCACAGCTGTTCCAAAAATGTTGCTTCATCAACCAAATCACACAACAGCTGCCAGCCTGGGCATCATATTGCAGCATGTCTTTGGTGGGTTTCCTGCAGGATCAGCACAATACTCAGGGCAAAGATTTATGCAATGGCAAGAGGCACTGAGGGCTTCGGTTCTGAGCCTACTGAAACCCTTCAAAGAAATATAATTGACATTGTCTGAAAAAAATCTTAGCAGTTGCATGGGGGCTGACTGAGTCACATTCAGTTTGACTGAAAAATCTGTGCACATGTTTCTGCTGTCCCTAAAACAAACCAGAAAACAGAAAAGAGACTCATTGGTAGATGCTGGAATAGCCGAAATACCCTCATGCTGTGTTTTTATTTCTGCTTTTTTGTATCAGAGTGAATTGGATGAGAATCAAATACAGATGGCTGGAGATGATGTGGGTTTGCCAGAAGACCTGGCGAAGATGGTAGAAGAAGATCAGGAGGAGGAAGAGGACAAGGACTCTATCCTGGGACAGCTGCAAAACCTCCAGAATATGGACATGGATACGATCAAAGAAAAGGCACAAGCCACCTTCACTGAAATGAAACAGGCTGCTGAGCAGAAATGTTCTGTGATGTAGAAGAGACACCACTATCCACGGGCTGCCAATTCAGTCTTATCTGACAGGGGCTGCAGAGGGAGGGCAGGCAGGGGAAAGCACATAGCTCTATAGCATTAAATGTCAATATAGAAGAGCGAGAGAGAGACTTTAAAACCCCAAGGGGTGTGTGTGTGTAAAAATTTACATTCTCTGACTGCTTAGTGTGGAGTTAGAACTCATCTTTAAATATAGCTTTTTTCCCCATGGAAAAAATTGGTTAAAAATATAATATTGGGGAAAAAATTGTGCCTTTTTCCATTTTTTTCAAAATGATTGAGATGCTATTAAATGTGTATTTTTTAGCAAAACTGTGCTTCTTATGCATAACATACAGGTAGCCACTCATTTAATACTTGCTTTCAGAAATAAATGCCTATATTTCTAATAAAAACATGTCTGTTTCAAATGTTTTGAAACAAACCGAGTATTCACATGTTGACATTTTCTGCAAAAAAACTTCAAAAAATGTTTTTTACCATCTCTGTACTAAAACCAGCAACAGGCAAAAAGGCAAAGCACGTCACTTCAGCTTGGGACAAAAATGTCACCGTGTCTAGAACGCAGTGGGGACTTGCAGGAGGCC